AGCTGGTCGCGGCCGGGAGGCAGGACGGCTCAGAGAAAGCCCCGGCGGGCACCCCACACGAGCCTGCCCCGCTCCGGCATCCCCCAGGCCAGTGGGGCTCAGCCCGCCCCAGCCGAGGGCCACGTTAACTCTGGAACCTAATCGCGGGCAGTTTCCCAGCTGGGAGAGGATGAACGAGTCGGGAGCCCGGGAAGGGTATTACCTCTCCGCTAATTCGGCCCAGGTTCCTCACTGCTTTAGGCAGACACATGCATCCCGACTATCAACCTCCTCTCCATCAGAAAGCGGTGCTTCTTCCCCCGCATTGTTCACGTCTCCTGGCGATGAAGAAAGTGACACTGAGCGCTCCTTTCTCCGCAGGCGGGAGGGATTTTTGGCGGGTTGTGGCACACTGCTGGGCCCCCTTCCCCTCTCTGCACACCCAGCTTCTGCTGTCACAAAAGCACCTCTAGCTTGTTCCTTGCCAACCGTATTAGGGTAGAGCGTGACATCAGTAAATATCAAGGTGTGATGTTCAGACGAGTCTCTTTCTCCCCGTGTCTGGGGCACCGTAAAGCACGGGCTAGCGACTGCAGCAAGGCGGTGGTCAGGCTGCCTGTTTGCTTTCATATAAGGTAACCTGCGAAACAGAAAAACGGGCTTCTGTCCGTGTGCTTTCTAAGGATGTGTAAAATAACTTGAAGCTTCTGCTGTCCTGTTAGTTTGGGTTTAGGATTGGCTTGTTTATAGTCTGACTTCCTAAAATCATTGTGAATGCAGCCACGATGCGTATCTGTCTGCCTGGCCATCCGGTCACACGACCACAGAGTTTGAATCTGGCGTGGCTACCCACTCAAGCCAGCATCTTGCATCTTTTGACCCCGGCCAGGGTTAAACACGCACATGTAAAGCCAACATCAACTGACATCCCTTCCCACAGAGGCTGGCAGTTGGGGTTTCTTGTCCTGCTTAACCTGTTCTGAGAGTCACGAAGACCATTTGTAAACCAGTGGACTTGGGTGTGCTCCCGAGCCCCCAGGTCTGCACGCATGCTGCAGCAGCTGCACCCTCACCCCCCCATTACAGCAAGATCTGGGTGTAAATCAGCTTTTTCTCTGCTTTCACACCTTGGTTTCTCTGAGTGAAAGTCACAGCCTGCCTACAGCTCAGGAGGGAGAACCAGCGAGCTCAGGCCAAGTCAGGAGCAGGATCTCCAGATGCAGGACACTCGGGAAGCCTCAGCACAGACACAGCCAAAGACAGCCACAGAGGGGCACCAGCACAAAAGTGCGTTGCTACGGGAACAGCGGGAATAGGCTCTATTTAATAATTTGTACGAGGAACGCAATGGTAATTCAGTAATTCCATTTATTAATTGTCAAATAGTAATGCACTGCAATATGAAACAAAAAAATCAACACAAGAATGTTTTGTTTTGTATGTGTGTGTGTGTACGTGTTTGTGTGTAACTTAAAATGGCAAGAGCAAGAACAAAAAATAAACCTTTAAATGAGAATGTTATATACAGTCAGCATCATCACGTTACTCTGCTGGATAGATTAATTTGGTGTTATCCAATCTTAGCAACAGGCCTAAATATCGCTGCAAATAACTGGAGGGCAAACCCAAAGCTGAAAAATAAACCCATAAATAAGAGGCAGGATAAAGGTATGTCCTGCAGAAAAGAAACAGTGGTGCTTGGTGTCATATCTGAAACCCTTCATAAGGAATATTTTGTGATAAAACTCTTTATGTGAACATATATGGAATTCCATCATTTAAATATAAGCGGAAAAAAACCCAACCTCTCACAACTGCCTTTTTTTTCCCCTCCCTTCACTCAACGTGTTTAAATTATTTTTCTATACAAGGTAAGTACATTGTCTGTACAAAGTTAAATATACATATTTACAGTCAAACTTCTGAGACACTGAGTCTTCTCTTCCGCTGACCTAGGCGGAAGACAAGCCTCCTCGATTTCAAACCCAGGAGCATGGCTAGTTTATCAAAACATTGCAAGTCGTGCTAACAGTTAGTTGTAGTTACTCTTAATAAATCTGTATAAAAGCATCAGCATAAAAATAGGCGTTTTATATTATTAAATACGGCTTATGACAAAATAGCAATCTACCCCTTTGCTATCTGTAGGGTAACTGTAGGAAGCAGAGTCTGATAGAACCGGTTTTGTCTATGCTTTTTCTTAATAACAAAATCTCTATCAAAAGAGTATTCATAGTGGATTTACAGGCAAGCATACAGCTGAGCCACGGGTTTTTTTCAAGGAAATACAAATCTATGTAACTGGTAATAATGGCTGGGAACAGCTTTCCAAACTGATTAGACTTTTTTGTACGGCTAAGAGGCAGCCAGAATGTGTGTATTTATTTGAGACCTACCATCAACACTGTAACCAAAAAGAAAAATAAAGGCACCCTCAGTGATACATTGCCCGGATTTACCAGAGCCTTTAAGATTTAATGCTGGGAAAGAAGCAAAGTCTTCATCCCAAAGAGGATGCTTCGAACAACGTGATCCTTTAGGGCCAGCAACAGGGGAGGAGGAGCACAGAAAGTGAACGGCCGCAGGACTCAAACAGAATTTGCTCTCATGGATGTTCTGTTTATTGGTTCTGTTCTTTGTGCAGCTAAATGTCAAAGCCAGGCCGATTTCTCTTTAAAAAACAGGACTCGGTTTGTTTTGAGGCACACAATACACTCACACACACACACACTCTGCACAAAAGGAAAAAACGACCTGCAGAGACAGACAATACGTTATTAAAGGGTCTGGGATTTCTGCGTGTCTGCATTAAGCTTTGGGCGACCTCTCTGGATTAAACCATCAGTCCCAAACTCCTTTGCCACACAGAGCTCTGCTGTTTAAGTGTATCAGCTGTCCTCTGCCGGGTCTTAAGGTGCGTGACGCGAAGGAAGGGTTTTCTACAGAAGTGGAAGGCAGAGCAAAGTCAGGCAGAAACGGGGCAGAACGCCTGGCCTCCCTGAACCTCGCCAGTGAAAGGGAGCAGCTGCAAGGCCGTGCACTGCCCCGATCGCAACACACAAACAAAACCTATACCACGTGCTTCCCTGAAGCCTTCTCAGAGGTAAGTACTCCATACAAATTTATCACCAGAATTCTTGCTGGGCAGGGGAGAGGAATACACAAAGGCAGCACTGTAAACTAGAACTGTCTCTTCTTCAGCAAACAAATCACACCCTGAATCTGTGGACGCAGGGCTACACATTCAACTCAGTACTGTACCACATAACCACATCCTCCTAACGCGTCTCGCCTCTTGTCTACTACATTCATAAATTGTCTGTTTCTTCACTGTTTAAAACCGCCATCTGGCAAACAACCCCATCGCTGTTGCGGTGGGACCACTCTTATTTTACAGGTACAGAAGCTTCACGTAGTTGCCTGGGAAGGTGCCGAACTGCCGCGTCCTCCTGGACGTACCTGTCGCAAAATAAAACAGAAGGAAGCCAGAGTAAGAAGGAGCCATGCAAGAAAGGCTTAGAGGTTTAAACAGGTAGAGGTGGCAGCCTCTTCTGCCTGCAGGCATCCGTTTCTAAAACTAAATAGGAGCCCTGGCCAAAGAGCCTTTTGGTATGGGTGAGATCACAACTAGTTCTGCTACTGATATCTTTGGTCTTTCCTTTTAACAATTAACAAGGTGCTGGTGAAAGCTGGGGGGGTGTGTGTGTAACTACAGGCTAGGAGCCAAACTCCTATCAGTGTAAATGAGCTAATCTCCCTGAAGAAGAAACAACAAGCCTAGATTCGCAGCGCTAAGATGGAGAACACTGTCCAGACTTGCATTCTTTGAAGGTAAAGGACTAGATTTTGCTAAACATAGAGCTACAGATGAGGCTGGATTTTCAGGGACTGCAACTCCCATCCATGTGTTCCCTTCATTTCCTACTTGCCACTTTCTGTAACTTGCCATGGCTCCATCAGCTCTGGAAAAGCTACAGAAATCCAGTTTTCCTTGGTTCCCTCTGTTGCTGTGCCATCTGTGTGAGCAAGAAGGATCAGGAGGAAGAGGGGAACAAGGAAATTAAGAAGAGAAAAAAGGAAAAACTAGAGACCTAGCAAGGAAAAGAAAGCTCCACCACAAATGTTCTTGGTGGGAAACGATGAGAAATTGTGGAAAAAAGTTGATTTTTCTCACCATTTTGAACCTGCAAATGAGAGAAACTTTCTGCAAAATTGCTCATCTGCATCTCATCTGAAGGTGCTCAGCCTGTTGCTGAGATGTGCTGGCTACTCTGCAGCACAACCTGAAGTCTGACAGACTGGGCTGTATCCAGAAAAGCATAGCCAGCAGGTCGAGGGAGGTGATTCTGCCCCTCTACTCCACCCTGGGGAGACCTCAGCTGGAGTACTGGGTCCAGCTCCAGGGCCTTCAGCACAGGAAAGAGAAGGACCTGTTGGAGCTGATCCAGAGGAGGGCCACAAAAGCTGTAAGGGGGATGGAGCACCTCTCCTATGAGGAAAGGCTGAGAGAGTATGTGGTTCAGCCTGGAGAAGAGAAGGCTCTAGGGGGACCTTAGTGCAGCCTTATTATGCCTTAAAGGGGGCGTATAAGAAAGGTGGGAACAAACTTTTCAGCAGGGCCTATTTCAACAGGACAAGGAATAACAGTTTTAAACTAAAAGAGGGTAGATTTAGACTATATGTAAGGAAGAAATTCTTTACAATGAGCGCGGTATAACAGTTTTAAACTTTGCTCAGAGAGGTGGTAGTTGCCCCATCCCTGGAAACATTCAAGGTCAGGCTGGATGGGGCTCTGAGCAACCTGCTCTACTTGAAGATATCCCTGACCACTGTAGGGAAGTTGAACTAGATGGCCTTTAAAGATCCCTTCCAACCCAAACTATTACATGATTCTATGATCTCAAAAAGCTCTGCTGCCAGCCATCACACTCACCCACAAACCAGCCGTCGTCACATTTCTCCATGACATCGACAATGTCACCATCCCTCAGTTCCAGCTCATCATCGTTCTGAGGGGTGTAGCTGTAGAGGGCTTGGTAGCTAACTCTAAAACCAGGAAGATACTGTGTGTTAGCCATTGGATTTTCTTGACAACCCTTCGGAAGGGGACATCTCCCTTCCCCTTTCTAATTCCTATTACATTTTGTTCAATGCAGTCTGGACTTGCGTTTTCCATTTGAGAGGTGCAAGCCAATTGCATGAAACTGGCTGTTATCACAAGGCCATGGCAGTAGAAAGTGTCACGCCTGCACTGCGTGGGATACGCAGAGAGCTTCTGTTTCCTTTTCACCATAGAGTTGTCTCCATAGACTGTAACAGCCAGAGTCTTCCTAACGTTTAGCACCTAGAGAGCACACCAGTGCAGACACCCTACTGAATGAAAGCCAAAACCTGGATGCACTCGTTCCTGGGCTAAACATGACATCTGTTCTCTTGCTCAGGCACACCGGCAAGGCCATAAATGACCAAATGGCAGAGTGAAGCACTTTACCTACTCGACTGCACTAAAGTTGCTGGACAAGTCATGGCTGAGGAGGCACAGTGCAACCAAAATCTAAGGTTGAACCCTACCCTGAGATACCACCTGCACCAAGGCATGGCCTATTTACCAGAAAAGAACACTATAGAGTGGAAACAATCTTTGGGCAAATCTGGGGAGGTTTGGATCCCCTGACCGTGGGGAGTGAAAACAGAGCTGATGTGAGACTTTCTGTTCTGTCTAAAGGGGTGGAGGACAGCAAAGGAGCCAAACTGCCAAAGAACTTCAGTCTCCAGCACAGAGTGCAGGCTACTATTCTCAGAACCATCAGTCAAAGGCCCCACCAAGCTTAATGGCAACTCCAGGTTTAAACCCACCAGAAAACTTCGAAAATCTCAGCTTTGGTCACTCAGACCATTCAGCCACCAATTCACCTGCAGAACTGGCCAACAATGCACCAGGTGGCATCGGTGCTGGGACTGCTCACTGTGAGAAGCTAAGAACAGGCGTGAACACACTGATCCATGTCATGTGAGCCAGGCGTAGCCACCAGATATTAATTTGTCCCCAACTTCAAGATACAAAGACAATGAGATAGCCTCCATAACCAGCATGAATCAAGTGCCCAAAGGAGATACAGTCCTCAATCATGAGATCATTGTTTCAGGTGCTATGCAGACACAAAGGTCCCAGATTTAAACTACTCATCATGATGATATGTGGCTATTTTTGTTCTTTAAAGAAAAGCTGACACTTTCCCATAATTCTAATTTAACCCCTGAAATACTGAAGCTTTCACACCTCCCCATCTTCATGACCAGTCAGAGACAAGGCCCCTGGATGAGATGGGAGCCGAAACGACTTACATGTCTCGTGGTGTTTGACTTCTGTCAGGGCTGGCTCCTTGCTGCTGTGCTTGAGGTTGCTGAGAAATGATGAGAGATGGTTTATGGTCATTAGAGGTCACCTTGTGGCGAGAGTCAAGAGGCTGAGAAATAGTACTGCAGTAATGAACAGACTTTTCTGCAATGTTTATGATCTCATTGCAAACAGCTTCCTGCGTGGTAGGCAGCATTGACATCCAAGAACACCCAAAGGACAGTCAACAGGGGGGAGGGAGGGGAAAATATAGACAAGAAGAGATGGGACATTCCAGATGCAGCACGTAAGTCCAGTAAAAAAAAAAAAAAAAAAAAAAAAAAAGAGTTGTAGATCCAGGTAAATATCCAGGTAGTGGAGTGCAGAAGGGATCCAGGTGTAAGCATGGAAAAACAGGCAAGATACAGAAGAATTTGGCATTTAGTTTGAAGATTTGTAACAAATACATATACATACATATTTTAAAAGCAGCAGCATAAGAAGTTGCAATTAGTTATGCAGTGGCACCATTACAAACGCTATGAAGTCAGTTCAAGAATGCAAGGCGGGCCGCTCCATTCATGCATTTTGCTTCATTTAACTTATACCCAGGGACTGGCAGCACAATTAGCCCAACTTCTCCTTGGCTGTGACAGTTTTTCTAAGCGCTAAATTCCCTTATTTCTGTTGCAAACGAAACAATATATGCAAATAGATAAATATGTACCTACTTTGAAGCTAAAAATAGTGCTGGCACTTTATCTCTACTGAGGTGTTACTGTCTGGGCAACGAGAGTCTAGGACTACACATCTGATTTAAACAGTGGCCTTACCACATAGCTCTTTTCAGACTCTGTGAGATCTGGTCCAGCTCTCAATGAATGGTGGGAAGGCTGTGTGATCACCAAGCAAATGATAAGGAAGACATTTTAGCAGATGTTATATCGGTCAGAATTAAAAAAAAAAAAAATTAAATGGAGTGCAGACAACAAAATAAAATTAACAACTCTTCCCCTCCCCAGCCCAACACCACACTTCTTGGACAACAAGGTCTTTCATTTACACAAGACATTAATGCCACGGCACTGCAGCACACAGAATGCTACAAAGAGAACGGTGACAGCAAAACAGAAGCTCAGGGCAGGGAATCCGAGTGGAAAGCCATGGACACCACTACAACCAGAAATAGTACATAGCATCATACTGCATTCCTGTAGGGGAAAAAAAAAAAAAAAACGCAAGGGGAGAAGGCGATATTTGATGAGAGGCCAAAAGCATGCTGAGAGGAATCTGCTGCTGTTTTTAGAAAGGTCCTCAATGACTTTGATACAGGAGAGAACAGTAACAACAGGCTTCGTAATAAAAGAGCAGCTCAGGTCCTCAGAAGGCACAATACCCTGCAGCCCCATCAAAATCACTCCAGTTTGTTCCAAGCAAGGATCTGAGCTGCTCTGTTAATTCCCATAATGAAGCAGGCCCTGACTGGAAAACCCAGCTCCAAAGACCACCACCTGTGGAGCTTCTGGACTTTGCCCTGCCTCTCTCCCCAGTCACAACTCTTCACGGGGACTTATGTGTCCAGAAAGGAAAATCAGGGTGTTGGGGATTGAAGGTTTTATGGGTAAGGTCACTGAAAAAGTTGCACAGGTATCCAGAGCCTGGTTTTGCACGCTTTGGGCATATTCAAGCACCTACTGAAAGCAAATGGCATGCTGTGAGCAAATGGGATGGCTGAACTAGCGTAGCGCAATTAGAATGTTTGGCTTGGCAAAGTGGATTGGATAAGATAGAGGGCACTGTCATCCTCTGTGATCATTCAACACAACTTGCAACCCAGATTCCAAAAGCCTCATTTTTATGCTTTTCTTCCTCCTCTTTATTCACTTCAACAATGCCCTTCAGTAAAAGGCTTGATTTCTCATGGCATCCTGAGATGCAGCAGAAGCAGAGGACGAAGAGGTTTGTGACACCTTCAGCCCAAGCATGCTCAGAGTTCAGAGAAGTGCAGGGTGATGAGCCATTCCCTGTCTAATTCCTGTCCTCAAAGCTCCTCTGAACCACATCTTGGACCTCTGGAGCTGTGCCCATCAATGTATTAAAGCAAACTATCTCTTTTCTTGAGGACTGTGACCCACTCTAGGCCAACACAACAGCAACTCCTTCACAGTCAGCTGTACTGTCTGGGGCTGGAATCTGGGATCACTGCCCTAAGAAACAATGCTCTGTTACCATGCATATTTCTGTAGAGAGAAAATTAAATGTAAGTTGGATGGGCTAATTGCTGTGGAATTCACATTCAAAGCATTTACTGTGGAGCCTGAAATTGTCACAGGATTTCTGGAAGTCATTCCTGCCTGTCTATCACCAGCCCTGAAAGGCAAATTAAATAATTAGAAATTTAAAATTGATATTGTTTCGACCAGCTGGATGTAGTGTATCAAATCTGGTAAGCTCAGAGCCAACTCAGGTGGTCAAGTAGCTGGGAAAAACAATTTCCAGGCTGAAGTGAGAGGCAGCTATGATTTATATATTTTTTTTTTTAATTCAAGAAAGTGCTCCTCTACTCCATACTAATACACTGACAGCTGCAATTGCTCTATGAGCTCCTAAGACCATATGGTCTCTTCCTCATTGATTACTTGTGACCTCCTTGACCGGCTTTGCCACAAAAAAGCATTAACATCTATGAATAAAATTAGTTATTTGAAAGCTAAAAACCTGACACTACCTCTGAATGCTCCATAGTGCAGGCCTGTATGTGTAAAATGGGGAGGTGCAGCCTACCCAGCATCAGAAACCTGTCCTCATTCCCTTTCCTGGCAGGATTCTCACAGGGACTTTCATGAAGCAGCTGGGCAGGAGCAGAGGCCAAGCATTCTCCTGACCTCCCAGCAGCCCCCAGTTCCTAACCAGACCCACAGCTCAGTGGATCCCATCCGGCCTTTGCTCCAGAGATCCAGACAGCTCTCACCAAAGCAGTGGGTGTCTCTGTACTAACTCCCAGGGTACAGTAGAGCCCTCCAGTGATGTGATAAAACACCCTGAAGGCAGTGACTATGCAGCATAGCCTGACAGGATGAAAAACTGACCAGATCAGATCCTATAATTTAAGCTGCAAATGTACTACCCTACTGCTTCAAACAATTGACCTTGATAGCATGGGCTAAGTGGCTTTTTTAATTAAAAAGAAAAAAACCCCAAACAACCAAAAACCAAAACCAAAAACAACCCTACATTATTCTTGCAGAGAGAGAAGAGAATAAAGATAAAAAAGAATAAAAAGGTGTTACAGGTTGAAATGCTCTTCAAACACTGGTTCAGAAAGCCCATGTACTACCTACAGTGGTGGCTCCATGTGCCAGAAGTAGCCACAAAGGAATCAGCAAATGTAGGGCACAGCTCCAAAGTATAAAACACAGAGGTTCCCCCAAAACACTGAGCCAGCCCTGCTGCTGCTGAACGTAAGCTGAGGGCCCTAAAAGTGACCAAATATTCACAGCTCGTGAGGACAACCCAACTCCTACCCCCTCAGTCACTCTATGTGCTTTGTTAAGACTAAGTGAATAAACTTAAGCAGGTGCTTAAGTGTCTGTATGTCCACGTCTACAGAATATAGAAATTGTCAGTCCTGCAGCATAGCTGGCCACTCTTTACACCACATGTGGAGTTTGAGGATGGATCTAAAGAGCACCAAAGGTTTGTAAGAATACCAGAAAGGTTCTACATTAAGAGCCTAGAAAAGTCCCGGGGCAGGTTTTAACTGTTGGGAAGAAAGATGCTGGGGCTACTCAGTAGTCCTCTCCCTGCTCCTAGCGAAGTCAAGTGTCATCAGTGTGTCCGTCCACTGCAGCTCTCGTTTACCTGTCTTCCTCCGTCCCTTTCTGGTGTGAGTTAAAGGACCACATGCGCAAAAAGAAAGCTAAGCAGAACAGACTGACAGACAGACAGACAAATTGGTAACACCCCAGAGAAGGGCACACATCAGCAGTGATGCTCCCACACATGAATGGAGAACCATGAGCAGGGAGGACTCCCCAGCCCAGCTGAAAGACAAAACACACCAAGCCCCAGCTCTGGTGAAAGCCAGGGGAAAGCTGGCCGAAGAGCTCTCAGAAAGGACACTGAAAATGCTGCACCGCAGAGCAGCCCAACCTAAAGGCTGTTAAAGTCATGGAAAGACACCTTGGCCTCCGGATCCGAAGCTGAAGGCCCTGTCTACAGCAGAAAAACGCATCTCCCACAGGGAGCAGGTACCAATGCCTGTTGCAGGCTGTGCAGCTCTGGCTTGGACAATAAACGTGCTGGGCTGAAACGCTGCCGTGCTGAACCTGTGGAGCAGCAGCAAACCACTGCAGGGGATAAAAGTTTACCTCAGAGATGGTACTAGGTAATGAACATACTATGTAAGTGTAGCTCTGTGCTGGGCAACATGGGGGCTGAGCATCAGCCTCATACGCTCTCCCATCTACTAGCACAATGCAGGTGAAACTACTCACCACCCTGCCTGAGTGGGTCTGTGCAAGTGGAAAGGAGTAGTCAGCCTCCCCTCTCCCCAACATCCCTCACACTGCCGGGTGATACAGGGACCCTTGTCCAGCCACTCCTGCCTCCTCCACGCCACAGCCACAGCCCGGCCCCAGGGACTGCTGCACTGCTCACACACTCCCTAGCACTACTGCTTCCTGTCACACTGTGCTAACAGGACCTCGGGGTAAAACAGGAGTTAAACTAGAAAATTTCTGAAGGTCCCCTGAAATAAATTAATTTGATAGATTACATTACTGCTTAATATAATGTTTTACTGGAATATTGAAATTATCTGTAAGCTATACTTGAAATATCTTTCACATGGGTTTTACTTTTTTCTCTTTATTTTGGACTGTGAAACTAAACAAAAGGGAATAGCTTTAGAATAGCTAAAGAGCCACTGCACTTCATATTATTAGTTAACAGAACAGGCAAGAACACAGTCCTTACAACAGACCTGTACCAAAAAGGTCTTAAACAAGAAAAAAACCCTTGGGTCAGACTTTCATAACAGGGGAGGTTCTCCATAATGAGAAGGAA